TGTCATTTGAAATGTTCTGTTCAACTAATTAATTTCCTGATTTTTTTTTTCCTTTGTTTTGGCTTCTTGGCATTCTAGTGCAATATTCAGTCTCTTCTGACATTCATTTTAGTCTTCTTCCTTTGTAATGACCTTTTGCATTCTTTATGAATAATATCCTTGAGCGATCCACAGCTCATCTTGTCTTTGTTCATTAGTGTTCAAGGCGTCAAACCTGTTCTTGAGATGGCTTTTAAATTCAAGTTGGGTAGACTCGTGGTTTTATTTTAGTTCTTGTGTATTTGTTTTCCTTTTCTTTCGCTTCATTCTGAACTTACACATGAGTCGTTGATGGTCTGTTCTATGGTTAGTACGTGGCCTGGTTTTCACAGCTGATCTTAAGATTCTCCAAAAATTCTTTTCACAGATATAATCAGTCTGATTCCTCTGTCATCCATCAGGTAAGGTCTTTGTGTATAGTCACCATTTTTGTTTTTTATAGACAGTATTTGCAATGAATACATCATTGATTGTACAAAATTCTGTCATTATCTCCAGCCTTATTTTTGTCATCACGCCTACATTTTCTACTTGTCCTTCTTCCTTGTTTCTGATTTTTGCATTCCAATTGCCAATTATTATTAATGAATCTTTATTACATGTTCGATTGATTTCTGACTGCAAGAGTTATAAAGAGCATTCTGGTCATGATGTCTTCCAAGATAGATCTGTTAATTTTTCTGCCATCCATGGTGCTTTTCATATTCTTCACCAGCACCATAATGCAAAGGTGTCAATTCTCCTTTGATTGTCTTTACTCATTGTCTAGCAAGTATAGGAATTAGGACTTACAACATAGATTGCAGTTGAGGTGGGCTCTGGTGGCATGGCATAGTCTCTGGAATTGTGTTGCTAATCCACAAGTGGTGTTTCTCTGACCAGCCACTCCAAGGGAGAAAACTGGGCAATCTCTTCTCATTTGATTTACAACCTCCAAAAATCCACTGAAGGATCACCTGTTTTCAGGGGACAAAATTCAATCCCTAATACTATGTGTCAAATTCTACTCTAGTTGCTGAAAAAGCTGATGACTAAAACCAAATTCTTATCCTCAAATGGTTTGTAGAATGATAGCAGAAAGACATATAAACAAAAGATATTACAGAAATATTTTATAATAAAGGAATAAAGAGAAGCATAGCCAGAAGTCATCTGCACACAAAGAACCGAGAGTTGGAAGCCAATGAAATCACAATAAGAATGAATATAGGGAGCATGAAGGACAAGGGCAGCAGTTATGGAGAAGAGAGGTCTCTTAAAAGTAGATTTGGCTACTACACAGCAGTAGTAACCAAAACAGCATAGTATTGGTACAATGACAGGCACATAGAGCAATGGGACAGAATTGAGAACCCAGAAATAGACCCAGCTATCTATGGTCAACTAATATTCGACAAGGAAATCAAAGATATCAAATGGGAAAATTACAACCTCTTTCACAAATGGTGCTAACAAAACTGAACTTCCACCTGCAGAAAGCTGAAATAGGATCCACATCTCACACCATACACAAAAATCAACTCAAGGTGGATCAGAGACCTGGGAGTGAAGCCCCAAACCATAAAGTTCCTAAGAGACAAACTGGGATCAAAATTAGAAGCCCCAGTCTATGATATTCTGGCCAAATACAGCCAGAAATGCACAATCTGAAGAGGATAAAATTGATGAATGGGACTTTGTAAAAATTAAATCCCTGTGTGCATAAAAAACCTTTTTCCAACAGGATGAAAAGAAAACCCAATGACTGGGAACAAACATCTGGAAATACCACCTCAGACAAGGATCTCATAACAAACGTTTACAGAGTACTCCTGGGCCTCCAGAAGAAAAAGACTGACAATCCAATTATAACATGGGCAAAAGACATGGAAAGAGTTTTCACAGAGGAAGATATTCGAATAGCCAACAGACACTTGAAGAAATATTCCAAATGACTGGCAATAAGAGAGATGCAAATCAAAACCACAATGAGATACCATCTCACTCTGGTAACAGTGGCAAAGTTTAACAGGACAGCAAGTAATAAATGTAGGAGAGGATGTGGCAAAATAAGAACTCTTATACATTGTTGGTGGGATTGTAAAATGGTACAACCACTCTGGAAAGGCAGTTTGGTGCTTCCTCAAAAAAAATGAACATAAAAATTCCATACAAGCCAGTTATTCCACTGCTTGGAATATACCCTGAGAAAATGATAACTGAGGCACAAATGGAGACTTGTACAGCAATGTTCATAGCAGCGTTATTCACCATCTCAATAACATGGAAACAGCCCGGATATCCAACCGCAATCGAAGGGATTGAGAACTATAGTACATTCATACAATGAGAATACTACGCTGCACGCAGAAGCAATGATTTTGTAAATTATTACCTAGCTTGGAAGAGACTGGAGAGCACTCTGCTGAATGAACGAACTCAATTACACAAGGAAAAATAGTGTATAAAACCATTATGGTAGAATGAGTATGAGGAAGGGGGGGTAGGGTTGAAGCAAAGGGATAGGAATGTGTGGGGGTGAGGGAAGGATTAATCATGGGGTTATACAGTTTGATGGGGGTGAGGGAAATTGGAAGAATCTGGTCTTGAAAACAATGTATTCTAATTTTGTAAATAAACTAGTATAATAATAATAATAATAATAATAAAGTAGACTTGGAACAAGGAATTGTGAAGACATAATTGCGAATGGACATACCAAAGAGTAAGCTCTTGAAGAGGATGTAGCACCTAAACCAGGGAGGAGACAGAATGAAAGATTAAGGAGACAAGAGACTGATAGAAACTCAAAATTACAGTTTAGACGACTTTCCTAAAAACTAAATTAGGGGGGAAGATGTTGACTCTTTGGTGGGAGGTGAAAAGGAGTGTTGAATACTGAGCAGGAGTTAGAGTAACGGGGCGTGATTGGAAGCCATAAACCAACTAAGGAGAGAAAAACTCAGCCTAAACTCTCTCATATCGCTAGGAAAAACCCTCTTCTCAGTTTGCTATAGTTATCAGAGAGGTAAGAATCCATCATTCAGTTACCGTAGAATAAGGTATAAATGGCTGTTCCTTCTGTAAGGGTGGAGGAATTGTTACCCTGTTGCTAAGGAAAAGGGCAGGGGCTGTTCCCAGTTGCCATGGGGACAAGGTAAGCGCGTTCCCTTGGTACTGCCGTGAATTTAAGAGGCGGTTGCCTCTCCTTGTTGCTATGGCAATATAAAGGGACTGTTCTCGTCGCCCCCCACCTCTTGCTGCAGTTGCTAAGACAAGGTGGAGGTAGGGGTTGTCCTCCTCTCGTCGCCTTGTTGCCTTGGAGACGGCGGGCGCCAGGCCCCGCCCCGCTCGGACTGACAGCGGTGGCCGCATCGCGCCTGCGCAGTGCTCTCTACCCCCGCAGTCTCTGTGCGTTAAAGCCGGAGACCGCGGCGGCCTCTGCTAGGACCCTCCGCCTCGAGCCGCCGGCCGGAGCCGCAGCCGCAGCCTCAGCGCGCCGCCTGCCCCTCCCCGCCGCCTCCACCGGAGCAGCCTCGCGCACAGTGAGTACGGGCTGAGGCGACGGGCGCCGCGGGGCTGAGTCAGCGGGAGGCCCGGGCCCGGGCTGGGGGAGGGGAGCCGGCTCACCCCTCGTTCCTCCTCTGCGCCCCTGCTCCCCCACCCCGTCCGTGCCTCCCTCCACGCCTCCCTTGGTGGAGTCCGAGCTGCCTCCGCCGGTGAGGAGTCCCCAAGCCACTCCCCCTCCCCTGCCCTGCCTCTCTCCGGACCCTCCTCGAGGATCTTGTCCCGGAGATGCGGCGGCATTCCCGCATCCCGATCGGGACTGACTCTCCCATCTCCGCCCCGCCCCAAACTACCTCCAGTGTGTCCTTGTCTCTTCTCCTTACCGCTCCTGGGCCTGACGTTCCCGGCTTCTATGGGTTTACCCCTCTAAATGCGAGAAAAAGAGTGACGAGGGAGAAAGCCAGGGAGACCTGGGTGGAGGACATTCTGCCTGCCCCAGCCCTGGGGCTGCCAGGACTGTGACCCACACGCTCCTGCGAGAACAGGTTTGCACAGTTCTTTCTCACTGGCTGCACAGAGCTTATGGGGCTTTTGGCATAGATTTTGCCAGAAAAGTGTTTAGCCCTATCATGAGCTGCTACTGTTTCATGAACACCCTGGTGTTCAATGTTTAATGAACAGGCCTGGTGGCCTTCTAGTGAGCTGACCCACGACTGCCCTGGTCAGTGCTGGGGAGAGGCCGCAGAGGTAGTCGAGGGAGCAGAGAAAAGATTGCGTTTGGACACTCAAGTTCCTGCCCTTCCGGTATGTTGTGAATAAGCGTCTTGCAGTATTCTTTAAAATGCATGCCTCCCTCCCTCCCACCCACTCCAGTCAGTACAATATTGATATTGGTGAGGTTTGAAAATAGATCCGAGGTAGAACCATAGTAAGTGGTTAGTGTTCGCGTGTTGGGAAGGTTCTGACTAGAATTGATCTGATACCTGTTAGTCCATGTGGTAACCAAATAGATAGCAAGGGATTTTAACGCCCGCGTGTGAATTCTCCGTGGTGTAGGAATGAGGCCTGTAACCACCCCTCATCCCCGCCTCCTTCAGCTGTGAGTTTTCATAGGGACTGTCACCTGATAGGGATTATAGCATGTTGGGACAATTCCCTGGGTTTTGTTTGCTAGCCATCCACCTGCCCATCTTGCGTTCACTGATCTCTGGATAGAGGAGGTCCCTAACTGGTTTATTTTTCAAGACATAGCAAAAACTCAGCTCAAGTCAGATCTGGTGCCCACAGTAAACGTGCCTCAGCTGGAGGGCTCTAAGTAAGCGTGCCTCAGCTGGAGGGCTCCTAACTATTGTGTGCACCTCCCTGCTAACTTCCTTTGATTTTTTTTTCCCCAAATTTCTGTATACTGTTAGAAAATATATGTAAATAGAATTCGTTTCTACTGTACCAGAGGCTGTGTGGTTTTCATTCTAAGCTGCAGAAGGAGTGCATGGTCCACTTTTTCAAAATCATGGTCAACGAGTCACTTCTTTGGAGTTTTCTGGGCTTGCAGACTCAGAAATAACGATTTTGCTCCTTGACTTTGCTCAATCATGGCCTATTGGCAGCCTCTTCAGAGCCACTCCCTGCCCCCATGCCCATCAGATTAGTTTACAGTAGCAAAGACGGCTGTCGTCCTAGTTTTAGACCTAGAGATGAAGTTCAGGAAAACGACAGCCCCCATCCAGTAGCACACTTTCCTCTTCCAAATGCCAGTCTGGGGTTTGGCGGGATGCATCTGCCTCTAGCGCGATGGGAACCATGGGGCCTGGGAGTTACATTCCTTTTGTGTGGTCCTCTCTGTGTCACATTGCTCGCTGCCGAATACCGAAGCAGGGCAAAAGAGCAGACAGCTGTGCCTGAGAGCTGCTCCTCCTGGCTTCAGTATATTTTGGGAATCAGCAATATTACTAGGGTGGAGGGTTGGGAAGGAAGAAGCAAGAAAATGTGTCAAGGCTGTGATCGCTCAGGAGGGTGTGATTAAAATGTCCCCTTTCCAGTTTGCTGTGGGATAGTTCTTTTTCAGAGCATCAGAGTGGTTTTTAAATGGATTAGTTGGTCTTTGAAATCTGTACCTGTGTTTTATGAGCTAATGATGAAATACCTTTTAAATGGCTGCTGTTGGGAAAACAGAACTAATACCTGTTTAATACGTTTTCTGACCAGATGTTACTGAGTGTAGTTATTAAGATCAGGGAGAGGGATATGTCTATGTTGTTGATATTTGGTTTTGTAGGACTGTAGTTCTTTGATCCTAGAATACACCATTTATTCACAGTTTTCAGGTAAAATAATTTAACGTTGAATGGAAAGTGCATGCTAACTTCAGAAATTCTAAACAGCTAAAAAGTGGTAAGACTGAGGCTCAAAGGAAGGATTTGTATGTCTGTCTTAGAATCAAGGAAATGGTGCTTATAATAACCTTGTGTACTGATGACATTACCATCTTGAACATGCATGTTTGGTACAGACTGGTGTCCTTAAGTTCTTTCTCCAAATGAGCTCTTTGTGGGATTATAGTTTTAAGATCATATAGAGCTAGGCACAGGAGCTTTGGTGGTGTAGTCTGTAGCATGTAGTGCCTCTACCCAAAAAGCAATATAGATCTGCAGTGGTTTGAATACACCAGCTTCTCCACAGGAGAAAAATGGGCATTCTCTCCCATTAAGATTTACAAGCATTGGGAACCCAATGGAGGGCCACTGACTCAATGACAGTTTAGATATTTTTGTTTATTTTATGAAGCTAGGAATGGTAAATGGTTACCACACAGAAGAAACATATCTACATGATAATCCACCCCAACATCCTTCGTTGTAGCACTCTCCAGAAATGGAGCAGACCAGCTGGCAAGAAACATCTTTCGTAGAATTAGCCAGGTAACATCTTTGAGAAGCTGAACAGAAAATACAAGTTCTAAATCAAATGCATTTCCCAGATTTGCTTGTAGACACATTTGAAAAATTCTGATGTACATACCATCCTCCTGTTTTAGATCTGTAGGGTCATCAGATAGTATAGTGTGCAGCCCTTGTTTTCAGATCTTGATTCTGAGACACCAGGAATTAAGTGGCTTTCTCCAAGACACCCAAACTAATACAGAATGTATGAGAAAGCACTTTGTAGACTTTGGACATCATGCCAAATGAATGTTGATGGTTATTAGTGGCTGAGTCAGGATTAGAACTCAGTTTTCCAGTTGAGAGTGATTTTTACTACACCCCATTGCCTCATATCCCAGTGAGTTTTAATAAAAATAATTTAGTAGTCTGTAATTAGCCCTCTAGACAAGGCCTTGTTTTATCATCTGAGATGTTGCAAAGCCAGGCAAAATTTAGTGTCACACTATCTAATTAAATATTTATTCCTGCCACCTTCAGAATAATAATTTCCCTCACACATTCTGACTTCAGGAAGGTTTTTAGTTTAATTTGTATCCACTAACAGAAGCAAATCCTAAGATGGGTGTTTGAAGTTTTCTCAACTTGTGAGGCTGCTGCATTCGAGAAAGCAAGAGCAAGGTGTGGAGTGTTGGAAGGAGGGCGGTTGAGAGGAGGTGCAAGCATGCTGCTTGAATACCTTCCAGCACTTAAGCTGTAACCTTCTGTAGGTCTTACAAGTCTTAGGGACTTCTAAGCCTTATCTTTAGGAAAGTAAGACCATCTGGCATCTGGAAGCAGACAAACTACAGTTCAAATCCCAGACTTGCTATTTCCTGACTGTGTGGCCTTGGGCAAAGTATGTAATTTCTGGGTGCCAACTTCCTCATCAGTAAGCCTGGAATGAGAACTATCTGCTTTACAGGATTGTTGTAAGAATTAGGTGAGATAAAATATGTAGAGTCCTTGCCTAATGTGAGATAGCAATCGTTATTTTAGATTTACTAAAGTTAAAAAAAAATAATGATGCTGTCAAAATTTTCTCGTGACTCCAGTCTCTCTGGACACTGATCCCTGCATCCACAATGTCTCAGCAGCCCTCTGGGTGTGTTTGCGATGCACAGAGAGCGGATTTGTCCTGCCAAAACCTGGCACTCACAGCATTATTTCAACTGCCCAAATAGGAGGACATGAAGTGCCTCTTTGTCTCCATGTATTCAGCTGACCTGATTATCTGAAAGATGGGCAGCCTAGGAGAGGTTAACTTGTGTAGAACACAGACTTGGTGTGTTTGTGTGTGTTGTGGTGATGTTGGTCTTCCAGTCAGAAGGAGGACCATCTGGGGAGTGATCTTAATCTGAAATGGAAAAGCTGCTTGTGAGTAAAACTCATGTAACCTCCTATCCTCTACAATTAGAGGTGTTTCTTTAATTAGATGACTTGGCTCAGATCAGCTTCTGCATGTGTGACATACAGAGGGCAAGTACTGGAGGACTGTTCACCTTAAGAAAGGTTTTCCTTGCTAATGAGGAGAGGTAATTGGGGGGTCATTCATGATGACAGCAATAATAGATGGGCCCAAGGCAGAAACTATACAGTAATTAAGGAACCAGAGCACACTATAGAAGAAGGGTGGAGTCATCCTCACTCCACAGATAAATGTAAATGTTGTTATTGTTGTGTGCTGTCAAGTAGGAACTGACCCATTGCTGACTCTGGGGTGGTTTATCAGAGGCAGTTAATCCAACGGGAGGAGATTGTCCGTCCTTCTCCTGCAGAGCAGTTGCTGGATTAGAACCTCTTGCCTTTGGGATTGCAGTGCAGCTTCTTACCATTAGGTCACCAGAGCTACTTAGATAAATTTAATTAGGAGAAGTAACCACAGACAGGCATTGAAAGTTTGGAAAGATGAATAAGATAGTGTTTACTTATGGTGACTGAGATTTGAATGGGACGGGGATAAAAAGCTTTACTTTTTTCCTTTATATGCATGCCTCTGTACTAAATTTGAATTGTTATAGGGAGCATGTGCACTTATAGTTGACCTTTGACCTCACACAAGTCTTCTTCCTCTTCTGGAGACACTGTGTGGAGGCATTAAAATGGTCCAGAATCTGACC